AAAAGCGGTTTTTGGGGGTCTGAGGGGGGGCGGAGGGGGTTGGGGGGCTAAAATCCCCCAAAACCTAAGTTTTAGGACACCCTTGATGACTTAAAATGGTTAAAATAAAAATCCATTCACAAGGGCATTTTGACATTCTTATCCCGGGATACCCTTTTTTTGACTCATTCTAGTAAAAATTAATAAATTTAGATCAGATTGATTTAGATAAAAGGAAATAAAAACCGTAAAATTGCCAAATACAGCTGTTGGACCCCTTAGCGGGCAGTGGTCAGTCATACTAATCACCTACTTCAAACCCTAGCATTTTTATGAAAAAAATTTACGAATGGACTCACCATACCTTTAAAACGTCCACAGAATAGTTATAAAGTAAAATCAATCGCCACCAAACTAATGTCCAAGCCACAAAATTTAATATTTACAATAAACCTTGGAGTGGCATGGTCTTACCTTATCGCCGCATGTTGTCAACATATGACGCGTTGTTAAAGTCAGAATTACGACTTCTGAGTTATCCGCTGAGTTGCTGAGCTCAGCGAAAGTGTTGTTATACGTTTTCTGAGGTTATCCATGGTTATCCGCTGAGCTGCCAGTTTGTAAACAAAGGCCGCCATCTTCTCAGCAAAATTGGTCAGCGCTCAGCCATGGTCCGCGGTCGGCTGAGCTGCTATTACTACGTCATAGGCAATATTTGTGTTTGTTTTGTTTAGCGGATAACTCCAAATGGCGGACTGACGTCATTTCGCTGACTTCACTTTTTGAGTTTAACAACGCGTCTATAACATGTGCTTGAAAAACAAATAAATAGCAGTGATGCAGGGGGGAAATTTTTTTTCCCCCATCCACATATTACTACCAACCTAAATAAGTGATAAATTCAAATAATTACTGCCTATTAGTGGCAAATAAAAATTATTTTGTGGTGGTTAAAGCTACTAACAACTGCCCAACAAAGGGTAAGACTAATCAAAGTAACTCCTTAAAATGTTTTGTGACAATTTATGAATGAATTAAGAAAGTATACAGACAATAAAAAATATTGAATAGTATTATTTAAAAAAAATAAGACAGGGGCACAAATTACAAATTTTCAATTGCATACATTTTGGAACTTTAGCAAGTGGATGACTTGTTCTCTTCATTTGCCTGAAAAAAAAAGGCATTTAGGTTTACTTGGGAATAACCACCTTTACACATGTAGGTGTTTAATCCGCCTATCGATCTGTTCAAATTATTATATCCTTGGGTATCGCTGGTAGAGATGGCAAGTTGGCCCGTTGATTACTCGACCGAGGAATCTAATTTTAGAGCAGTGAGGTCAGACCAAGTGGCTAGTGAATAGAATAACCACCGATACAAGTAACAGTGTTTTTCTGCCCGTAAACATCACTGCAAGTTATGAGACTACAGTGGGGTTTCACTTGATCAGGGTCCATTATTGACACCTTTGATGAATTTTTTACGTACTTTGTGTATTATAAGATTTGTAATAAATAATGTTTTGTACACACATTTCTGACCTGATTTTGATTTCCGTTTCACAGCTATGCTGTAACAAGTATCTTTTTGGCGGTTTTCCGACAAAATGTTGGCTCCTTTAAGTAATAACTCATTGGCAACATGAGGATGATCGCTGTGTGCTGCATACATGAGAGCAGTGTTGCCACTCTGGAATTGAAAAATACATTAACAGGTGTGAAAAAATATGATACAATGCTCTTATGATACAAAAAATTCGAAGATTTAGAGTCTGGCAACTTGCAGGGGTGCCAAATTTTCCAGAAAGATTGCAACTGAACTGAGAGCCGGGCCTCCTGCTTTAATTTTATTTTTTTATTCATTCATTCCGGTATTTATCAGGAAAAACTTCAAAGCAGGAAACAACCTGGTCACCTTATCACAGGTAGATACTTTTAATCCCCTATTGAAATTGCTAAGACTTCATTCTAATTATCATTAAAGTAAAGAGAGACGTCAAAGAAATTTGATACTAGTTGGACGTATTAATGCTAAAACAGGCTGTATGAAAACAAAACAAAAATTAAAAGAAGCATTAGGCATAGGATTAGCATGGAACATACTTCCTTTTGATTAATTCATTTTTAAGGAATGAAACTAAACATCAACGAACCAAAAACAAGACAAGATGTAGTATGTAATCATAAGTATGATAATGTATGTACTCCATTATATTTTGAAATATGAAATTATAATATTACTCTCTAACTGCGATATTATAATAAACTGCCGCACTTATTTTTCACAATGGGCTTGTGTATTGCGTCGTTAAATGTCAGGAAATTGGAAAATGAAGAAATTGTAGAAACCCAGGTATTTAATTTAGGCAGGAAGATCTAGATAACCCGTTAGATACTATCTTCGCCTTAAAAATGACTCAAGATCAAGTTTTGAAATAAATACTTTTGTTGCATAATTGGAACTTAAAGAATTTAAAGTAAACATTTTCAGCCTTTTTGATTTTCCACTTGAAAAATGTTTCATTAACAAATTTCATAAGCCGCTCTACACTCTGACTTACATGCTTAGGCATTTTATGCAGCCTTGTAAGCAACTCACCCATTATATGCTGAATTAGATTTATCTGTACAGTTCACAAACCTCGTCACTGTAATTCACATTTGCACCAAATGCAAGAAGGTAACGAACAACTTCAAAGTGACCATTATATGAGGCAAGGAGTAACGCAGTGTAACCTTTGGGACAGACATTATTGACATTAGCTCCTGCATTCACAAGTCGCTCAATGGTAGGTAACTGGCCATAAGTGGATGCCCAAATCAGAGCTGTCATTCCATTTTCATCCTTCACTTCAATGTTCCTTTCTGGAAATTAAAAACTGAGTTATGGTGATTTGTTTCATCATTTCAAAATATAACATCCGTTAATGGAAAGTTTTTCGTTTTACCAACTTAGTGCGTACCACCACTGTAAGTTCAACTCACTAAATGGCTGTTTTTAAATTACATTGCGCTAAAATTCAGAATTTTACATCGCCCTCTCCCTCATCTTGCAGGTCTGCAGACACATGAAAAATTACATTTACATTTCCTAAATATGGACGATTAAAGTCCGCAATCATGTATCTCAGTTTGCAACCTTGCAGGTATCTTGTCATACTTACTTTATAAATAGAAAACTATTTAATGGCAAATCTTTAGCATTGCCGTAATTTTCCTTCTTTGTGCAATGAAAATTCTACAAAAACTTTCAGGAATGATGTTGATTTGTTCTCCTTTAAAAACATAAAATAGAGCGGAGATTTCCAAACACTGCATACGATATATGTGGTTGCAGACTCACACCATTGATACATCCTGTTTGTACATGAAATGTTTTAAATTAATATTTTTCCAATATTTTCACATGACCTACCAGGGTCAAGTCCACAGACTCTTTTCATTGCAAACTTCCCAGAGAAATATCTTTGGGTTCAGAATCAAAGGATTTCCAAATTATACAATTAACATTTGTTATTGAGGCCTTTATGTGAGACAAAGCCCTTAACAAGAGAAAAGATACATAATTTTGCAGCGTATCTAGGAAGAAAACTGGTGTGGGCAGGCATCAATTGTTCAGTTGTCATTTTTCGTTTAAACGTTTACCAATATCACAAGATAGTTTCTTTTTCTCTCTCTTCTCACCTAAGCATGGGCACAATTTAAGACCCTCAACATGGCAGATAACAACTCCAAATGATATCGTTTCAAAACTTTACTTTTTGAAAAATTTAGATTTTGATGATACCGTTTCTTTCTTCTTTTTTTATTGTTTTTTTTTTCCTTCAATTTTTAAAGGTTTCTTACATCCAAATGGTGGCAAAGCATATTTTCACAAGTTCCAAATATAGGTACTTAGGTTTCGGCACTTTTTGTCGTCAAAAATTTCAAAATTATTCAGGGTGAAATGCAGGAAGAGGGCAGGTAATGTACTGTATTTAGAGACTGTGAGCAGAAGTTAATTTATACGAAACCAATGTCATTTTTGTGTAAGGACCTTGCAAAGTTTGACGCAATAATCTAATGATAGATCGAGAGAATAGATTAATGAAGTAAATAATCCACAAATCTTGTGGATTAATGTTAGAAGAATGCAGAAATGTTCCTCAAAATAATAAAGGCATGTAGACTCAACTTACTGTTAGTTCTTATAGAAGAGATATGTCTTCAATATTTGTACTGATGAAACCACTTTCATCACTATGACGAACAATAAAAATAATGAGAAGTAGATCAGACTAGTAAAAAAGTGAAACTCTGATAAAAGGGTAAGTATATGACGTGCCTTCATTGAAGTTTCATGATGTAACAACCGTGCATGACTGACTTGAGAAAAGATACCTTGGTCTATGACAACTTAAAATTGACTATTCATAGTCAAATATTCTCCAAGAATTATGGGATAAGAAACGCCCGATTGCGTTAAACCATATTCGATTTGTCGCAATTTGATGTTTGCAGTTCGAAAACCAGTTTGAGAAAAATTATGTAAAATTTTAAACTTCCATGTTTGAGGGATATAGTTGGCAGGATTTATTGCAACTTTAAAATCTTCATTGGCAAAAAATAATAAGAAAACAATAAATTGGATTAAATTACTTGTAGCCAGTGTTCAAATCCAGGAAGCGCTATGCATAAAATGCGTCTAAATGTTTCTTATTGATGCCTGAATTATTGAAATCAAGGTCTAAGTTAGCACCTAGATACTCGCAATCAGGTAGAGCTATGAAAACACAGAACGTAGACAAACCTTTTTGATCGGTACTAGACTCAATTAGGGACCCTTCTGGTGGGACTCAATTATGGGTAGTGAAAAGCTGTGAAAATACTCGATCAGTTAGAAAATGCCAGATTCCGAGGTCCCAGAAGACATGTGGTTCTCATAATAAATAATTTCAGAAAGAAAAAAAAATTAGCCTGTAAATATTGATCACGCAGTCCAAAGTGGCCCCTAAATTTCTTCTTAAGACTCGTGAACTGCTTGTGGCTTGGTTTTCATGATACTGGAGAAAGTTTGGCGGTAAAATCTTTCAGACATCTATCTCAGCCCAAGAGCGCCAAAAAATATGAGATTTACCAACCAGATCCAGCAGAAGTAATCTGAGTCGCAGTGAGATCACCCATGCCAGAGGCTGTGTGCCATCCTGACTCCGCTACATCTTGAGGTTCAATATTATCCTTTTCGGTATTGCCGCGTTGAAGGTTTGTGAAAACAGGAGTTGATGATGGCTGCAACAATTTAATAAATGGAGAAATGTCACTTCATACGTACTTGCGTTAACTCCAAGCTAGGCATCTAGCTGGGGGTCAAATGTTTGGGGCTGGGGACGACTTGAAGATTGAGAAATTTTTTTCACTCAACAGTCTCGTCGCTCAGAGAGGAGGGGAGAGGGGTGGAGGATTCAGCCTCCTAGTGTTTCCATACGCCTGGGTGCCTGCTAACATATTAAACAGGAAAGTCTAGGCCAGCTACTTATTATATTGGGAGCAGTACCAGGGGACCTTTAAGTTCAGTGTAGCGGAGGGAGGAAGGAGATCTACGCTTGCCTTACTGGGTCTTTCGAGGGGCTGGGGGGAGAGAGGTTAAGACCGATTGGTCTTACGTAAGCCTCACTCTAAAAAAAAGATCTTTCAGATATTTAGTTTGATTAACTTTCGTTTGTTGTTAGTATTTGTTGCTTTTGATACATTCGACCTTTTAGGAGCTGCTGCTTATTTTCTACAGATTGTTCCTCACATTGATGGAAACTATTTCCGTGGTGGAGTGAAACTTAGCCTTAAATTTAAATTTTTTGATGTAGATATCATTGATATTTTCGTAGGTTAGGTTACGTTACGTTACGTCAGGTAAGTTATCTTAGGTTGGGCTACGTAAGGCAATGCTCGGGTAAGTTAGGTTAGGTTAGGTTAGGTAAGGTTAGGTTAGATTAGGTTAGATTAATTTATATTTCATTTTTAAATTGAAAAATTACGCTGAGAATAAAGCGTATGTGAAAATAGCCCCACTTTACGTGAACTCCGGAAACCATCTCGGCAAAGTAAATTTCATTCAAAATGTGTTTGTGATTGATTACGGGCATCGTATGTTCTTCTAAATAAGTTTCAATTAAGGAGCCTGAGTACCGAACTGCGTAGGGAGTACCGTTGATGGGTCTAAAAAGGAGCCCGAGTACCGAACCTCTTCCGGAAGTTTAATACCAGTAAAATGAAACAATGAAATTTAGTTAAAATTGGTGTACTATCATTTTTAAGGTGTTGCACAGTTAACCTATTCATGTTATCGTGAAATCACCTGTACCATGTATGAACTTATTACGTGATGCTAATTCTGAGCTGACCTGAGATTATCTTAATTTCCGTAAGAGTAGGCTAAGGTCCAAATGATCTTAACAAGTCACTTTAGGTGATTCGACAGTTGCCATTTTTTGTGTCAGAGCGACGTGCAATATATTGCATTGGTTTGTTCCATAATTTCAGCTACTTTTCATTTTTTTCGAATTTTGAGATTGCATTTCTGTTGGCATGTGTCTAAAGAATTCATGCTACAAAATTTGACATAGAAATTCAACAGCATGGTTTTTTTAGAGGAAATTATCGCATTCAAGTGCAGTTCCAATAATGGTATCGAATGCGATATTTTTCCTCTAAAAAGTCCATACCTGTATTACATTGTATTTCTTTGTCAAATTTGGTGCATGAATTCTTTAAACTCAGGACAACAGAAGTGCAATCTCAAAATTTGAAAACATGACAAGTAGCTAAAATTTGGGAACAAATCAATGCGATATAACGCACGTCGCTCAGACACAAAAATGGCGACCATCAAATCACCTTAAGGTAATTCGATGAACGGTGGTTCGATGGACGCCATATTTTGTGTTAGAACAGCATGCAATATATTGCATCAGTTGGTTCCCTTTTTCAGCTACTCGTCATTTTCCTCCAATTTTGAGATCGCAATTTTGTTGTCAGGAGGCTAAAGCACTCACTAATCAACTTTAACAAAGAAATTCAATGTAATAAAGGCGTGGTTTTTTTAGAGAGAATATCGCATTCGAGTGCAGTTTCGATATCAGTGTCGAATGCGATGTTTTCTCTCTAAGAAGACCATGCGTTTATTACGTTGCATTTCTTGGTTAAAATTGGTCAGTGAGTGCTTTTAGTCTCCTGACAACAGAAGTGCGATCTCAAAATTGGAGAGTCGCTGAAAAAATGGAACCAACTGATACGATATATCGCATGCCATTCTGACACAAAATATGGCGTCCATCGAATCACCTTAAACTTGAGAAAATCACACGATCATTAGTGAAAGATAAGAAATGTTCAGTTACTCTGTAAGGTTGGAAGGCACTTTCTCTTGACCCTCCTTGCCAGGAAGACGAAGGTATTATGACAGATTTTGGTTGCTGATGAAAATGAATAGGTGTTGGAGAAATTTTATTCTTCTTGACTGTTATTGGTTTGACGAGGTCCTGTCTGCCTCCAGCACTCATTTTGTACTTGGAAGAATCACATTCGTGATGAACAACATTCATGACGCTGCACTGCGCAGAGAACCTTTGGAACCAAGACCAATCCACACAGGTCAGTCATTGCGCAGCTTTTTTGAAATCCACTCCCCCGCCCGGCCCTAACTTAACTCGCAGCACTCATTGTGACGTACTATTGAGTGCTCCCATAAGAAATACATTGTATGCACTCAATACTACGTCACTGCGCAGTAGAGTACCAAAATTCGTCCTCGGGAATTAGAGTCCCTTTATACCCAGAGTTAAGACAACTCACTTTTGGTTGGGCTGAAAGTGGCCTAAAAAAAAATCCAATTCTGATACCGCGCTGAATCTATCAGACCTCTATCAGACCAGCCCATGAACAATGTGCCAGGGCATGCCTCCCACCAGGCAAGTCTCTGGGCCCGAACGACTAGTACATTCAACCACCGCTGCAGCGCTGCGCATCCGCATGCGCCAAGCGCAACTTTAAAGTCCGATATATAAAAAACCAAACCACGGATCTCGATGAAACTTATGGAATACACTAATAATTACCTTAAGTATCCAGAAAAACCATCCCTTCGAGTATGCATTCATCCCTTCAACCCCTAAGGCAACATTCCGCTCTCATAAGACCAGCTAGGATTTTTTACTCTTCCCAGCCGCAGCTCAAATATAAAGTACAATATAACAAAAACAAAACCACGGATTTCGATGA